ATGTGGTATATCAAACATGAATATTTATAAAATCAAAATTTTGTATATTAAATCATTTTTGGGGCTCTAACAAAAAATTAGAAAAAATTAAGAAAAAAGTCAAAGTTTTAAATATCTCAAAATTTTATTATATAAACTAGTCTTGGGCTTCTAATTAAAAGTTTTCAATACTTAATTTTGTATATATTTATACCTTCTAATACTAGCTCGAACTCTAACTCTAACTAATAATAATTTTAATTTTTTTTAAAATGTATATTAACTTGCAATATCACAACCTGCTACATTTAACAAATTCCTTTATTTATTTATTCGCTATAATTAAGATATTTTCATTGAATAAAAAAATTCATAATTTATCTAGCAATCAGTATTTGAAATCACATGTAAGCTAGCAAAATAATCTAGATACCATTTTTTTGAGTGATGCTAGGGTTGTTGTCGACTTCGATTAAAATCCAAAATTAATAGTTGATTTAATCAAGTCGAACTTTTAAGATCTACTTAGTTCACTAGCTTAGCACTATACTATATTTGACCTGTCAAAATTTCCAGAAACACAGAATCACTATATATAATCTATAACATTATGCAGAAAGTTTTGGCTTGGTTTAGAATAATCATCCTCGAGTAATAATAAGTTATGACTTGAATTCTGCTAATTCAGTAAAACCAGAAAATTCTGAAAATACACTACAGAATTTGCAGAATTTCTATAATTACAAAATTATGAACACCTTAGCTTGGACATACACTTGGTATTCACATGTAGAATGAAATAATTTTGATACCCTGATAATTAAATATAGACATGTGATTAAGAACTCTAAATTCTTAACGTTAAGGTTATTTTGACAGAAACGTTCAAGATCGGTAATCTAAAATCAAATATTTACTAAAATAACAATACATAACAGTAAAGTTTAACTTGTATATATAAAACAATCAAAAAGATTTTTTACAATTATTATGTATTTGAAGTATTAATTTAAATAAATAAAAATAATAATATTTTTTATAATAGAAATTTTCAAACAAATTTATTATCGATTAAGATGATAATTTAAGTGTATATCGATATCTATTATTTTCGTCAAAAAAAAATTTGCAATCCTTTTTTTATAGATTAAAGTTTGATACAACCTCTTAGTCCAAGTATCAATTAGCTCAGAATCATAGTAGTGCAAAATTTTTGTACCATTCATTTTATATATTTTGTAAATTTTATACCACCAACTCATATCTGAGGTTTGGGCCCCAATAGCTATTTGTGGTGTACGAAAAAAATGATCGATCTAATTAAATGAAAATGTAAATGTTAAGCATAGTATTGTATTTCATATATTAACAATATTATCTATATATAAAGCAAGCAATATATACCAACATTCGATGCTATGGAATTAATAGTTAGTTTGAGCTAATGTAATTTAATTTGAATATATCTTATTATTAGTATTAATATATTTTACATATTCTAGATTTCTCCTAAATTTATAAACTCAACAGATATTTTCAAACAAGCAAAAAAGTGAAAAATGATCGGTAACATACTTATTTGATATGTGAGTTATTACAATTTTTATTTTTTTTATAATTCGATACATTTTTTTGTAAAATAATTTGATACAAAAAAGTTCATCTTACTTATTATCACTCTATGAGATAAAGATTCTTTTTGAATTCTTTGATGCGAATGATATTGAATAGACAGACCCTTTGGCTTTGGTTGCACTGTTGATAAAAAGAGTGAAGAGCTTAAATGAAAGAGAGGTAATGATTCCTCTTCCACCAATATCAAGGAAGTGGCAAAAAGTTCAAAAATATATACACATTCAAAAGAACCTAGTTTACAAGCAGCCAATTCATACTCAAAAAAGTATAATTTACGAGCAACCAACTCATACGACATATTCGTGTTGTTGCTGAAGAAATCTATAATGATAAGGTGGTAATTGTGATAACAAAATACTAATATCTTGTCTTGATTGCATTACTTACCAAATTCTTTATAAATCAGCTTTCTACCGAATCAATCACTATTCTGAAGTCTAATTCAAGATTATTCTAAAATTTAAAGAAATCAATATGGTGTTCTTGCAAAGTGCATCTGCTAATGCTTTCAAGATCCAAAGAAATCAGTATAATGCTTTTGCAAAATATATCTGCTAATACTTTTCCACCTTCTAATCCAAGATTATTCTCTAAGATCTAAAGAATTCAGTATAGCATTTTTGCAAAATGCATCCATATAACAAAAGTCATAGAACATATTGACAAGAAGAATAGAGATTTATACTATCAATTTTAAAACTTCGCAAAGACATTGAATATGTTTTTAAGCAATTCAAATAGAATTTTTTCACCGATTTCTTATCTCAGAATGCATAAATCTCTTATATGATTATGTGAAGGTAATGTGCTTTTGGGATTATTCCAAGATTCGAGTTCAGTTCTTTCTCTAGCAATTGATCCCAAATGTGTGTGATGTTTTTACAATGCATCTGCTAATGTTTTCCACCTTCTGATCCAAGATTATTCTCTCTGAAATCTAAGGAATTCAGCATAGCATTTTTGCAAAGTGCATCCGCTAATGCTTTTCCTCTTTTTAATCCAAGATTATTATTCTGAAGATTTAAAGAAATCGACATGATGCTTTTACAAATACATCTTATCTAATACAAGATTATTTTTCTAAAATCTAAAGAAGTTAGCATTTATACAAAGTGTATCCGCTAATGCTTTTCTTCCTTCTGATCCAAGAAAATTAGCATGATGTTTTTGCAAAGTGATCTAAGACTATTATTGCCAAGACCAAAGAAGTCAACTATTCTTGCAAATGCTGTTCTTTCTTCTGGTTCAAGTTTTTTCTGATAAAGATCTAAAGAAGTTAGTGTTCTTGCAAAGTGTATTCGCTAATACTTTTCTTCCTTCTAATCTAAGGAAATTAGCATGATGTTTTTGCAAAGTGATCCAAGACTATTATTGCCAAGACCAAAGAAGTCAACTGTTCTTACAAATACCTTTCCTTCTTCTGGTCCAAGTTTTTTTCAATAAAGATCTAAAGAAGTTAACGTTCTTGCAAAGTGTATTTGCTAATATTTTTCTTCTTTCTAATTCAAGAAAATTAGTGTGATGTTTTTGCAAAGTGATCCAAGACTATTATTGCCAAGACCAAAGAAGTCAACTGTGCTTACAAATATCTTCTCTTCTTCTGGTTCAAGTTTTTCTAATAAAGATCTAAAGAAGTTAGCATGGTGTTCTTGCAAAGTGTATTTGCTAATGCTTTGTTTTATAATCTAAGATTATTATTTCAAGATCCAAAGAAGTCAAACATGGTGTTCTTGCAAAATGCTTTATTAGTTTATTTTTTTAAACTATTTTTATAAGAAACTAGTTGAACACTTTCTTGATTTTTAGTACTGTGATATTTTGTTGAAAAATTTTTTATAAAGCTCTAATACTAAGAAATTGGTCTTGCTTGAGCATTCATGTAATATTTTTCTTAAGAATACTTATATGCTAATCCTAGTTTTAGTCTAATTTTAATAAAAAAATTTATTTTTATAAAAAAAATTATTTTAATTTGTATATTAGACTATACAAACTTAATAAATCAGTTCTCATCACATAAAATTTTTGAAGTGACTTAGCAACCCAGGTTTTAATTTTATTTTCAAAAAATTTTATATATAAAAAATATATAAAATTTTTACAAATATTTTAGAAAACTACTTAGATAGTAAATATACTTAAAATTTTTTTTGAAGTTTTGTAAAATTTGATTCGGACGGGTTATGAGAACCGATTTATTAAGTTTGTATAGCCTTATACTAATATGTATTTATATAAAATAGTAATACAGTAATATAATAATTTGTTTATTATTTTTTAAATTTAATATAGAAAATAATTTACTTTAATATATGTAATATGGATATAATTTGTAAATTTATAATACAAATTTAAAAATTAAAAGTTAAATTAGGTTAGGTTTAAGGTTAGAATAAAGCATAGTTTATATTAATATTTAGAAGGAAATTTTTTTGTTAGAGCCCCAAAAATGATTTAATATACAAAATTTTGATTTTATAAATATTCATGTTTGATATACCACAT